GGTTCCCATTGAAGGCCAGAAGGAAACTGGCATAAATCCAAATATGGACAAGTAACTCGTTTATGGATAACAGCCCAAGTCTATAATGTGGAATAACAGTTTGGAAGTACTGTTGTTTTTTAAAGAAACATTAGCTTTGATTTGTATGACCTTTCTCTTGCCCTTTCTAGCCCCCTTTCAAGTGGTTCCCCAAGATGCTTCACAAAGAAAGCAGTAACTCAATGACTAGAAGCCATTAGAAAAACAGTTAAAATAGATTCATGCTTTTAAATACAAGCAATGAAGAAAAATTACCATCCACCCCATGGAAGAATGTCAGATCTAAGGGGCAAACCTGTCAAAACCGTTCTCATATGAGAGCTGGTGTTGACAGGATGCGAACAGTGCTGGCTCTTGTAGGCTAGCCAAAACTTGAACTAAATCCTTGCCCTTGACAGACAGTAGATTTAATTAATAACTTAGAAAGTAATGGACAAACTTGAAAGTCATCTGGTAAGATATAAAAGTATGCCACTTAGAAAATATTCACATTCATTCAGCTCTGCTAGGGAGCCACTATCAACAAGAGTTAGCAGTCATGGATTTTTGATTACATCCATGAAAATATTTCTCCTATCATTAATTATTATAATTAGATCTCCTCTTCCTTAGATTCTAATGATCCTTGTCACACCAAAATTCCTGAAAAGGCAACAGATTTATTTATTGTGTTTTATCTTGACCTTCCTCCAAAAACTCAAGGACTGCATTGTGAGGATCTTTCATTTTACACTCACAAGAAGAGCAGTGACGCTGCCCCCCATGAGATGAGGGGCACAGTAAGGTGGGTGAAGCGGGGTATGGAGTGATGGGTTGTTTAAGCCTTTTCCCCACCCCAGAGCCAGTAGATTTGCCCCAATGCAGGGTGAGTCCATAGGCCTTTGTGATGAGATCCTATGCCCTATAAGATGCAGCTTAGAGGGCGAGGTACATTTAGCCTGGAGTAAAGAAGGTTAAGATGTAATCTGATAGCCATGTTTATATATTTGAATATATGTCATATTGAAGTGGAGCAAGCTTTTTTTATTTATTTATTTATTCATTCATTTGCTCCAGAGACTAGGACATGGAGCAATGGATTCAAAGCACATGAAAAGAGATTCCACCTAAATATTAGGAAACACGTCCTGGTTGCGAGAGCTGTTTGACAGTGGTCTCAGAAAACGATGGAGTCCCCTGTTTTTTAGGTTTTTAAACAGAGACTATATGGCCAGATGTCAGGAGAGCTTTGATCATGTATTTTTGCATAGCAGAGGGTTGGACTGGGTGGCCCTTGTAGTCTCTTCCAATCCTACAAGTCCTGGGATACATGACAGAGCTCAGAGAGATCTGGTCAAAATTGGTTCTGTCTTGCTGTCTAGAATTTGGTCTTACACAGAAAAGATTGACTAAATTGTTATAGCTCTTCATGTCTTTGCCAGTTCTATACTTTTTCTTGATACTATTAATTGCTAGCAGTCTTCTTCACAGTATCTGTTAAATGTTAGTGACCATCACAGTCTTGTCCATTTTATTGGAACTAAAAATGAATGAATACAAGCAGGGTAACCAGCCAAAACTATAAAAAGTTAGTTATTATTTTTGGTTTGCATTAAATTGAATTTTGGCTTAAAAACAGATTATAATGCAAGCTTTTCTGTTAAATTTTCAGAACATAAGCAAAGTATAATGTGATCCATAATAGATAAATCAGATTTTAAATTGGATTATCTTGTCTATGGGAAGATACATTAGGGATATGCATTATGCTGTTAACCTCCAATCCCCAATTTCTTTTTTTTTCTTTATTCTTTTTTTGGTTGGCTCTTCCAAATCACTGCTGATTCCTTGACATAAATGGAGGTGATAATAGTACTATAAACCTATGATGAATCTTTGCCAATGCTTCTTTTTAACCTTGATTGATCACTTATTTTATTTCTCTTCTCCTAATGTTAGTAGAGAAACTGTTGCTATTCATTGTGCAGCTGTAATATCCTTTGTTATGTTTGAAAAACAGATTGTTTTAAAAAATAATGCATTTCTGGAACAAGTAATAAACACATGTGACATGTTCATATGTTTCATGGTACACTTCCATAGGAAGAAGAAGAAGAGAGAAGTCTCTTTGTGAATAGTTTTTGCCAAATGCACAAATGCAGAAGGAGGGGCTTACTTTTTAAGTATAAAAACACGGAGGATACTCATTGCTATCACTACACCTTGAATGCAGTACTTTACTGTAATATGCTTTCCAGATTCTGTTCAACCATTAACAACAGGGGTCCACAAACTTTTTAAACAGAGGGCCAGGTCACGGTCCCTCAAACTGTTGAATGGCCGGATTTTAATTTGAAAAAACATGAATGAATCCCTATGCACAGTGCACATATCTTATTTGTAGTGCAAAAACACCTTAAAAGAATACAATAATTAAAATGAAGAACAATATTAACAAATATAAACTTACTAGTATTTCAATGGGAAGTGTGGGCCTGCTTTTGGCTGATGAGATAGGATTGTTGTTGTTGTTGTGAGCTTTCAAGTCATTTCAGACATAGGTTGACCTGAGCAAGGGCTGGGTAAATGCCCTTGGAGGGCTACATCCGGCCCCCCGGCCTTAGTTTGAGGACCCCTGATTAACAACATCATTTTTGAAAATAAAGAGTAAATAATTCCAAATGGATTCTATGTGATGCTTGCGGAAACTTCTATGTTATTCCGGAAACTTCTGCAATAAAAAGGGGTCTGTCCAGATGACGTTCTGAGCAGTTCCACATTAATTCACTATAAACCGGGTGGGGGGGGACCTGCTCCCCCCCTCCCCTGCTCTCCTGGCACATCATTTGTATGCTCCAGGAGAGCTGCTTGGAAAGAATACTGCAGGCTGGTAAGTTTTTTAAAACTTTTCTAAAGGTTCTGGGGGCTTGGGGGGAGGGCCTCCACAGATTTTTTGGGCTAATCCCAAAAGAATGTGTGGACAACCCACCCCAGAAAGCCCTTCCAAAACATCCGCGTTTTTTAACATGGATGCTTGGAATAAAGGGCTATCTGGATCCACCCTGAGTGGCTGGGGGGGGGGGGAAGGGGGGAGGGGGGGGGGGGAGGGGAGGGAAGGTTGTGTTGTGTTGTGTTGTCGCTGTTGGTGTTGGTGTTGGTGTGGGCCTGGGGTGGAAGAAGAGCAGGGCAAGCAGAGAAGAGCTGGGAGAAGGGCTGCTGCCTGCCTGGCTGCCTGCCTTGCTGCTTGTATGTAACTGTTGGGGTTAGGTACAGGTGGGAGCTGCAAGGGTATTGAGGTGTGTGGGTGCACGGCATGGGTGGAAGGAGCAGTATGGAGGAACCAAAACATTCCAATGTTTTTAAAAGCCCCAGCATTGCAGTAGGTCCCTCTGGGCTCAGAGTTTGTTGTACATTGCCTCAAAAGAACTAGGTCTCCCATCAATTCAAACCACCCTTGGACCACAAACTCTCCTTCCTAAAGTTGTGAAAACTGGCCCCAAGTCTAAAAAATCTCTCTGTGCTTTGTTTGTTTGTTTGTTATTTTGCTGTGCATTGCCACAAAAAACACTACATCTCTCATAAATTCGAGCCACTCTTGGACCACAATCTCTCCTTTCCAAAGTTGTGAAAACAGGTTCCAAGACCAACAGGTCTCTGGGCTTTGTGTTTGTTTGTTAGTTAGTTTGCTGTGCATTGCCACAAAAGAACTAGATCTCCCATAAATTCAAACCACTCTTAGAACACAAACTCTCCTTCCTAAAGTTGTGAAAATTGGCCCCAGGGCTAAAAGGTCTCTCTGTGCTCTGTTGTTTGTTTGTTATTTTGCTGTGCATTGCCACAAAAGAACTAGATCTCCCATAAATTCAAGCCACTCTTGAAACACAAACTCTCCTTCCCAAGTCAGGCTCCAAGGCCAACAGGTCTCAGGGCTCTGTGTTTGTTTGTTAGTTTGCTGTGCATTACCACAAAAGAACTAAATCTCCCAACAACTGAAGCCACTCTTGGGTTCCCCTATAGCCTTTTGACGTTTCCATAAAAAATCAAGAAGGCAGCTCTTTTATTTTTCTTGTAATATACCTTATTACTAAAATTACTTTAAAAAAATTGTCAAAAATCCATGGATTGTCTGAACATGTTCAAATTTGGTATGCCAACAAAGGAGGATGTTTGCTACCACTGTGGCAAGTTTAATCAGGATTGGTCTAAAAATGAGAGAGAGAGAATTCCCTGAACTTTGCCAAGTGCCATTTGCTGTTTTTCGCATATTGCGCAATCGTGTCCGCTATTAACGAAGCAATTTGGAAGTTTCAGAAATTTCAGAAAGTTCCAATTTTTTTTTTGAAAAATTTGGAATTCAATTCCAAATCAAACCAACAGTGCACCCTACATCTGAAACAAGTTTTGAACCATCTGAAACAAGTTTCAAACAAGCCTAATGACTACCTGCTTCTTTCATTGTTACCTTTTATGTACCAGATAAAGACTACATTATTTACTCAAACTTTGATGGTTTTATGTTAACTATCAAACTTGTATTTTTTCTTCACTTAGTTTAGGCTTTTTTATTACTTGCACTATTTCCTGCTTTTTAAAATAAAACTATCAGCAGTTTCATTGTTTTCAATTTATTTTCAAGTGTCCTGAGAACCTTTGAAACAGTAAGACAGATCAGAATGACTATAGGACCACATGCAAAAAGAAATTAATAAAGCCTCCTGTACTGTGTCCTGGGTTTCTTGTCTTTCATTTCCTGACTGCTTCTCATGGAATCATGGATTTGTCCTTTATCTATGTCATAAAGAGATGCTATCTCTAAAAATCTATTTAGCCAATGAGAACTGTAATGGATTGCATAATCACGGAAAGAGGCTGAGTTTGGTTTGGGAAGATGAAGACTAGTGCATAATATGACAAAGACAGGCAGGAAGGTCTAGAAGTGGGTCAATTGGCTATCTCTGGCAAAATGTCTGGGAGCTATTATAATGTCTAGGGAGATGCATACCACAGGGATAGAAAATTGTTCAGTTATCCGTCCACAACAGCACAGAGGACAAAGATGTCGCAACACAAACCAGCTAACAGAGGAAGAGGAAGAGAGACAGAAACACCGAACCAAGAAAAATGTGGGGGACCCAGACATTGTGAAGTCCCCTAGTGACCCTAAAGAATACCGGTAAATACTGAGCATGCACAAAGTGGGGCAAGGAAACCCACCAATACCAAAGCAAAGAAATTGATGTGTACTCATCCCACCCCTAGGCATAATCTGGCTAGTTGTGGTTAATTTCTGAAGAGAAAGAGAATGACTTCCTACAAGACTATACCCCAAGATTCTATTATAAAAAGGTGGAAAAATAATGTAGTTTGTTGTTTTATGCTTTCAAGTTATTTCTGACTAGTGATGTTTCTATCATGGGATTTTCTTGACAAAATGTGTTGAAAAGGAGGGGATTTGTTTCATTTTGAGACTGAGAGAATGTGACTTATCCTTGGTTATCCAGTGTGTTTCCATGGCCAAGTGGTGAACTGAAATCTGATCTCCAGAATCATAGTCCAATACCCAATTACTATAATATGCTTCCTCTTAATTCAGTTAATGCTTTGATGTAACATTAAAGTTCTTCCATTAAGGATTATCTTCAGCATTTTTACCAATGCATTTTCTGTCCTTTGATGTCACTTCTTATTAATTCCCTTCCAAACGCTGCTACGTATTCATTTTCACTTTCTTTTAAAGCTCAAGTGTGGTTCTAAAATGGGCAACTTTTGATTCATTTGTGGCATTTATAGTTCAAATGTCCGTTGTGGTATTATATTTAGGACTTCATCACACTAGAGAATTTATCCACTTTAAATCTAGTTGCTACCTCCTGCAGAATTCTGGATTTTTTGTTGAAGCCCAGGGCCTCTCTGGCTGAGTAGTTTAAATGCCCTCCCTCAACTACACACCCCAGAATTCTGCAAGAGGCAGCAATCGGATAAATGCTTTACTGTGATGAGGTCCCAAGATGTGGCAAGTTTTTTTAATTTGTCCTTGTTTCCATTATCATGTACACAATAAAGATCAATCATAAAGGAGTTACTTTTACTCTCATTACTTGCTTAACCTTCTTGTTGACAACAGTTTGATATCATACTTGACAGGTCACATCTTCCAGAAAGAACATGCCTAGTCCTAAAACAATGAAATGGGGGGAATCAATACATTTTCCTACTTCATTGATTTTGCTGTTGAATGATGAAAGAAAAGGTAACAAAATACATTTACAAGTCTACATGTTGAAGATGTCATAAAATAAAAATCCCATCAAGATTCACTCCAAATGTATCCTCTCATATAATTAAACCTATCACAATTGGAAGAAGAAAGAGCCAGTGTGGGGTTGTGGTTAGAGTTTTGGACAATGGTTAGAGTTTAAACCCCTATTGGAACAATGAAACCCACTGAATTTGTCCTTGAGTAAGACATATTTTCTCAGTCTCAGAAGAAGTCGATAGCAAATGCCCTCAGTACAAATCTTGCTAAGAAAATCCCATAATAAGTTTTCCTTTGAGTTGCCGTAAATCAAAAATTACTTAATGCCACATAGCAACAACAAAACATTAAGCACTTTGCCTTCCTGAAGATTATAGTAGTTGGTAGATTAAAAAAAGTTTGGAGGGAAATGATGAAACACACAGTGCCTGGATCACAGCCTGGAAATTTGCAGGCAGATAAAATCATTCTCATGACTGTGCATGATCTGATAAGGATAACAACATTAACCAAATCCACTGATCCTTGAATCAAATTTTATTCCTGTGTTACAGTGTTATCTGATTTAAACAGCATTATGTCTTTGCAGAGTTCTGGGAACCATAGTATTTTTTTACAGGATTTGACAGGATTATCACCAAACTACAACACTTCGGGTTCTTTAGTAAAGCTATGACAGGTATTGCTTAAAATTTGGTACATAGCTGAAATGTGATACAATAGAAAACATAGTGATACAAAAATGTTTGTGCTGTTCTGTTCTTTTTCAGGTACATCAAATTAAAGAATGGCTTGCATGCACTCTTGATATCTGACTTGACTGTTGATGAGTGCAATTCTTCATCAGATGAGGAAGTAGAAGATAGGATGTCTTCTGGAAATGAAACAGATGATGATGAAAACATTGTTGCAGACCAAGGCAATGGCATTGAGGAAGATGAGAGGAAAGGTGGGAATGCAGGATCTGAAGATGAATCAGGAGGTGGAGAAGTTGGTAGTGATGCAACAGTTGAAGATTTTGGTGGAGAAATGGTTGTTAATGATAATGTTGGCAAGCGTGTTGGCAAGCATGGGAGAAAGAGTAAAGATCATGTGGATGCTGATATATATGAAGAACTCGTGAAACAAGAAGACGCCAATAAGATGGGGAGTACAGAAAAGCAAGTATGCTATCTGGAATAATCTAATCTAAATCAATAGCAATTTCACTAAACTGTTTAAAGTACAACTAATAGTGAGACTATGTCATAGGGAAAAACCAGGTGTCCTGTAGCCTTCCCCTTACCAGGGACCATTCAAAGGATGGATCATCATGTGTACAGCAGGCTAAATAATCTAACCCTCAGCATCTTGGCTAATATTGATGTGTGTTATCTACAAAGGTTGATGCTGTTTAACTTCTTAGGATGGTTCCATGCAGCAATTTAATGTGAGTCCAATCCGATTTTAAAAACCTGATTTATTTATTTATTTGCAATATTTATATACTGCCCTTCTCAACTCTGATTTCATCATCAACAACAAAATCAACGAAGAACTTGCCACATCCCGGGACCTCATCAGAATAGAGCATCTATCCAATTGCTGCCTCTTGCAGAATTCTGGGATTTGTAGTTGAGGGAGGGACATTTAAACTGCTCAGCCAGAGAGGTCCTGGGCCTCACTAAACTACAAACCCAGAATTCTGCAAGACGCAGCAACTAGACTTAAAGTGGATAGATGCTCTGGTGCGATGAAGTCCAAAATATAATGCCACAACGGACATTTGAACTATAAATGCCAGAAATGAATCAAAAGTTGCCCATTTTAGAACTACACTTGAGCTGGAGAAAGTTCTATAGAAACCATGGATTGCCAGAAAGTCAAATGAATGGACAATGCCCTTCTTTGGTGCTCTCCTGGGTCATACCAATAATGCACCTAAAAGGGGGGGGATCACTCCTCCCCCCTCCCTTTTTAGTCACTGGTATGATCCAGGAGAGGGCCAAAGAAGGGGAAATTGAGACCTGGTGAGTTATTTTGCTTTTTAAAATACTTTTAAAGGGATTTTCTTTTGTGTTCCAGTGCCCTGCTGGAAAGCCCAGCAGGGCATCTGGACCCTCTCCCCCTCTCCCCGAAAAGCACACATTTTCTGGGCATTGTGCGGATTTCAATGCAAGTTTGCTGAAATGTGTACCTGCACAATACAAGTCTGCCAGCTTGTGTTTATCACATCCACACTATGTTCTGTAACCATGTATCCAAACAATATGACATCTGAATTAGCTCAGAACACTTTGGCTTTTAACCTTTATTTGTTTGATTTCATTTCACTGCTTTGCACTCTGAGATAAAATCTTCCCAAGGCAGTTTTGAATTTTTAAAAAAGTCAACACTGAGTCATAAAAAGGAACACCGGCCACTAATTGAGCAAACTTTACAAAGAAACAGTTGCAACAACTCTACAACTTTACTCATAACCTTGCTAAGCTAATTTTATTTATTTTATTTTATTTACAGTATTTATATTCCACCCTTCTCACCCTTCAGGGGACTCAGAGTGGATCACAATGCACATACACATGGCAAACCTTCAATGCCATAGATACACAACATATATAGACAGGCACTAAGTTAGTTTGTGAATGATACAATAAGGTTCTTAGCAATTTTTCTGAAAAAAGTTAGAAAGGTTTATCTATAAGAGTGTTCAGACTTGACATTGCATGTAAATAACTTATAAGGGTGCTATTGGGATTAGTCGTTCTCCTATACTTCCAGGATGTGTGAAAAGGGGCCCAGTATGGACAAATCATGCCCATAAGACTATTCCAAGTCCCCTTCTGATATCAAAAGCAGAATGTTGACTGCACCTCTCTCATGAAGGATATGAAGGAAGGACACTCAGGTATAATTCCACATCTCTCTCTCTCCTTACCAGCTCTAGGGTGAGGAGACTTCACAAATACATCAACCTATCTAATCTTAACTCAAAACAAGTCAGAGAAAATTATCTTTGTACCAATTCATTGATTTGAGTCCTCTGTCATCCCAATTTTTGATTAGAACCCTGTTGATGCCTTATACTTGCATAAGTTCCTTGAGGAAGCAGTTGGACTTATTTCCAGTTGCCTTTTAACACAACAAAATTACAAGAGTATGATTCGGCATAAACTGCCATGGTTCCATCCTAAGGAATCCTAGGCATGCTCCATAAATGTCAACCCTAGAGTTCCAAGGGATGTAATCATGGTAATTAACGTGGAACCATGGTACTCTAATTGTGTAATGTGAAAGGGCTTCCATGTAAAGTGTACACTAAGTTCATAATCATGGAAGTGAAGTTAGGCATGGCATTCCACTGTACATACAGTTCTACTTTTAATTGCATCTTTACTATTATTTATTTATTTAAAACATTTATATTTCACCCTTCTCACCCTGAAGGGGACTCAGGGCGGAGCACAGCATATATACAGCAGACATTCAATGCTGGGACAAGAATTCATATACATATACATAAACATTAAAAACATTTCTCAAAATATTAAAATACACCATTTAAAACCGTCTTGGTCATCTGTGTCAAATCTAAATTGGTCTGGTAAAGTTTCCTATTGCTGCCTTATTGCACTGTCCTGAAAGCTTGGTCCCACAGCCAAGTTTTTACCATCCTTATTATGTTGCACATCTGGTTGCACAACATTGCTTTCCAGCAAAGGGTCATATATCACAACCATTACATAACCCTCCATGTGAATATTTCAGTATAGAATCTTGGATGGAAGTAAAACATTTTCTTTTGCAATATGTTACTCCAGGTCTGAGTTTGATTACAAGCAGAATGAAAGAGTAGAGCATGCTCTAGGCTATATTTCAGAGGAAGGAACTAGTAAAACCACCTCAGAGTAGTCCTTGCCTAAAAAAACCCCATGAATTTCATGTGGCTGCTATAAGTTGAGAGCAGATTTGAAGGCACATACACACACATAATAACATCTTGATCTGTTTTTCTCTGTTTGGTTAGAATGGGGTGGCAAAGTGATAGAAATAGAATTATTTAATTCTAGGGAAAATGTTGTGATGTTTTGCCTGTGATGTAATACCCATTTCTTTCTTTTCTCTCTCCCCATTCCCTGTGTTTTTTTATTGCAGTCTGCAGCTGCCCTTGCTGTTTGCATTGGCAGTTTCTGTGACCCGGATGATTTACCTGGACTAGCTCATTTTCTGGAACACAGTATGTAACAGTTTCTCTTTCTTTTTCATATTTATTAAAAGGGAGGAAAATGGCATCTCATTTATTCATTTGGAATGCAGGTTTTTAAAATCAAAACATAATTATGTTCTGGTTCTATTTTTCTGAATTTTCTCTTATTGTCTTTATACTTCATATAACTTCCAGTGCTGGTGAGGTTCTTTGAAGGTGTATGAAATGAAGTCTGAAAAGCACAAATTAATGAGTTATAAATAAAGACATCTACTTTTTAAATTTCCCACAATGCCCAGGATTGGTTCCACCTTTCATGCCCAGGAATTGACTGGAAAATTTCAAATGACATTTATGCCGTCACACCTGGGGGCTATAACTCTTAGTGAAAGAGACATAGACGTGACATCTTTCCCTCAGGGGATTGCTTCTTGCCTTCCTTTAGAGAACTGGAACTCCCAAGGACCAAAACACTGTAGATAACTCAAAATAGGTTTTATTGTTCACAAAGAGTTATCCCTTTAAGGCAATAAGCTGGAAGTTTCAAAAGGGGTAAAGGAAATATACATTACAGTCTCTGGTTGTCTTGGGTCCAAGGAGATTTCGCAGCTGAGAAGCTTTTCCTGTTCCCTCTTTTCTCAATGGCTGTGAAAGTTGGAACAAACACAACCCCCAGTCCAATGGCCTACGTTGAAGGCACAGAGTCTTCCTTTTGATGCCAAAGGACCGGTTTGAAGGCGCTTGGGTCTCCTCAACGTTGTCCAGGGCAATCTGGACATGAAGTATGAGTCCCAAGGGTAAAACCTTAGAATTGGTGATGAGAGGTAACTTAATTAAGGGCTTTAGAGCCAAGTCTCTTTCTCACGTCTATCTGATAGAAAGTTTGATGGTAGAATGGAAAAGGAAAAGCTCTGCCCTCCTCCAGGAAGAAGTGGAGCCAAGCAATTAAGCTGAGGAAGCAATATAACTGGTTCAAACAACATTGATTGGCAGCTATAAATAACCAATCAATCCAACTATACATTTACAAAGTAAGCAAGTATGGACATGTTATACAGTTTAAACCTTTGCACTTTAAAGTTCTACACACAGGTGGCACTACTCGTGCCATCACAGCATTTTTAAAATGGCAGGCATTTTTAAGTGCTTTTCAGCTATTCATAACAAGGAAGTCCATAGCCAGATGGTAAAAAAACAAGTGTGAATGTCAGTACAACTAAGGAAATATCTGGTTAGCTATACCTTCCAGCACCTCACAGATGAAAACTGGAACACATGTGGCCAAGTATATCGGTGTAGTCAGGATTGCCAAAACTATTAATTATGAAGAACAGACGAGCTAAGAGATAGTGTACCATCTCTTGAGGTTCTGGGTTTGAGCCTGCCACTTTTGGACTTTTGCTTGCTGAGGTGTCCCAGCGAGTGTCTCTGTAGATCTTAGAAAACTGGTCCAGAAGCGACCAGAAGATTATATATAATGAAATGTCCTTTTTGAAAGGAATGTGATTGCTTTTGCTTTTCTCTGAGCCTAGTGAGAAAGGCAAGATCCAACCCATTCCTGACCTTTCATCTTCTGGGTTAATTGAATAGAAGTTACTTTTGCACTTTGAACTCAGTTTGGTGCAATAGAAGTGAGCAGAGAACAAGCGGGGAATTGATGGAAAAGTAAAAAAGGAAGCTATATTATTAGATATAATTTATTTATTTATCATGTCAGGAGCGAACCAAAACAGTTGTATTGCATTAAAAACAAACAAACAAACAAAACACAAAGTTTACAGACTAGGTATTCTATTAAATGTCCTTTGACCAGTAGCTGACCACTTGGAGCGCCTCTGGTATTGTTGCAAGAAGATCCTCCATTGTGCATGTAGCAGGACTCAGGTTGCATTCCAGTAGGTGGTCTGTAGTCTGCTTTTCTCCACACTCGCATGTCGTGGATTCCACTTTGTAGTCCCATTTCTTAAGGTTGGCTGCATCTCGTGGTGCCAGAGTACAGTCTGTTCAACACATTCCAAGTCACCTAGTTTTCTGTGTGCCCAGGAGGGAGTCTCTCATTTGGTACCAGCCATTGATTGAGGTTCTGGGTTTGAGCCTGCCACTTTTGGACTTTCGCTTGTTGAGGTGTCCCAGCTAGTGTCTCTGTAGATCTTAGAAAACTGGTCCAGAAGCGACCAGAAGATTATATATAATGAAATGTCCTTTTTGAAAGGAATGTGATTAGTGATTAGTCATTCTTTCCCCAAAAGTGACACAAGGCTCCTTTTCTGTGACTTTAAGTATAAAAATTTACTCACATGTCACTTTTTATTTTCTTTATCTGCATAAATATGACTCAGAAATGGGAGAATTGCTTCAAATGCTCAAAATCCCTCCCAAATACAACCCCCAAATAAATATTATGTATTACACGAAAAAAGAAAACATAAGAATATTATGCTGGATAGATGTGTAATCTTTCAGTACTTCCCAGCATGACAGAACTGATCTTATCAGATGGGCCAAATTGCCCGTCGTATATTGGTTCCTCTTCTGTTTTGCCATGGAGCCCACTGGCTCCCATCCCATGACATACATCTACTTCCAGTAGGGCTCAAGCGAAAAGGCCCCAATGGAGTTGCCACAATGGGTAGTAAATCCCTATGTTAATGTGATAATGTCATTAAAGTGAGTTTGGGGTAGACTCAGACTTGAAGATAGTTCATAGTCATGCCATTATGGCTATATCTCAGATACAGGATCCTCAGTAATAATAAATAACAAAGGGGCCGATCATCACTGATTTGAGTGGACAAAAGTCTTCTTCCATTAGAGCTTTCAATGAGTAGAGAAGCCTCCATATACATATTCTGTGCATGTAATTGAGCATAGTTGTATCGATGGATCAGGACACATGCCTCTTAATCAGCTACACAATTATTGGCATTTTCTTTCAGTGGTATTCATGGGTAGCAAAAAATACCCAGATGAAAATGGATTTGACACATTCCTCAAGAAACATGGGGGCTCGGACAATGCTTCAACAGACGCAGAAAAAACAGTCTTCCATTTTGATATCCAGAAGAAATATTTTAAAGAAGCCCTTGACAGGTATTTTAGCAGAACAAAGCCAAGTAGTTGCCAGGGACATGGGGAGAGGGGAGGAGAGAGATTAACTAACTAATGTAAGAACTATTAACACAGTCACCCTACATGTCAGTACTTCATTTCTGCATCAAATGTCAGCTTTCTTTCTTTTTCTCTATCTTTTCTTAACATCTCCTTTACATAAACATTTCGGAAATTGATAATGCATTTCTACGTGTCAAATTCAACAGCACTTTCTAGTATGGAAAGAACCATTAACCTCTCATAGATTGATAGCAGTAGTGATGATGATGATGATGATGATGATATACTGTATACTGTTCTATCTCCCCTAAGCAACTCAGGGTGGTTTACAGACTAAAGAACAAAGTGGCAAGTATTCATTGCCAAAATGAACGAACAGCAAACAGCAATAAATCAACTGGAGCTGTAGTGGCTTGGTAGAGAGTGATGGTGAGACCCTCCAGGGCCCATTGGTGCCGTGACTGGCCTTAAGGAGGGCGATAGTGGGGCCCTCCTGGGCCCGTTGGTGCCACGGCTAGCCTCAAGGAGGATGATGTAAATTAAAGAAATTCAATTATCAATAAAAAGTTACAATATGAAGTAGTACTGCAGATTTAAAATGGAACTCAAAAGAATTATTTTATAGTATGCAAAGTCCCCATTGCATCTAATTATAAAACATTAAAACATTATTTGACAGCAGGAGTAAGGCCATTAGGACTTCTTGATCTAGATGTGAGAAAACCACAATGGTCAAAATAAATTTGTAAAATAATGGTGTCAGATACAATTGGGTTCATTGGACTAAACCCCATGTTAGTTCTAACTAGAGTAGCTCCCCCGAGGGCCAGAAGAGGAGGAAAAAATTGAACTTCGGACTAACAAATTCCAGTTATTTCAATGGGTCTGTTCTAGTTGGGACTAACATACTCTTTGTATATACTTATCTTCAGTGCTTTAAATGTGTTATAAATAAAACATTTTGATTCAGGTTATTTTTCCAATGCAGGTTGAAAAGACTTGGCCTGTTGTTATTCTGTTTGTCTTCTAGATGGGCACAGTTTTTCATTCATCCTCTGATGATTAAAGATGCAATTGACCGTGAAGTTGAAGCTGTAGATAGTGGTAAAACAAATGGGTTTGATTTTTCTAAAAAAATGCTTATTGATAATCTTGAAGTTCTTGGGAAAAAACGTTCATCAAGTTTTTTGTAGCATTCCTATTGTGAAATTTGGATGACCTATCTTTTATATAACAACTTTACAAAAGTAATATTTAGATAAAATGGCTATAATCCAAATAGTTAAGTATACTTAAGCCTCTTGAAATCAGGGACCTTCATTGTATTGAACTTTGGACTGTAGTCAATAAATTCTGAGAGTGTGATTTTATGAACTCCCAAAGCATATGAGGCAATTAACAATAGGACTGCACTTCTAAGAATATCTTTTGGGGAGGAAATCCTATTCAATTCAATGAGGCTGAGGCAAACTTGGGCTTTGGAACAACACGATCAAAGTAAATACCCCAAATAAAGCAAAAACTACCGGGAAATGTTGAGCATGCCCTTTGAGATATTGGAGTTCTGCCGATTTGGAGGAGTAATATATCATGCAAGAGAATCACTGTGACAGTGGTTGAAAAAAGAAGGATGCCTGCATCAAAAGTCTATGGGAACAGATTCATTCTTTTCATAAAGATACAAAATTATATGTTTTGTGGTTAAATGGCAGTTTTGATTAATATTCAGCCGCATCCTCCTGGGTAGAACAAAAATTCGTGGAATCTAAGTATGTGCTTGTGCCAGTGTTCACCAGAGCCCAAAACACAGAAACCTGTAATCAAGTCACAACAATTTGTTTATTTATTCATTGAATTTAAAGCCCACTTTTCTCTCAATGTAGGATCTAATGCATATTTGTAAGGGTTTATACTAGTGGTTCTCAACCTGTGGGTCCGCAGATATTTTGGCCTTCAACTCCCAGCAATCCTAGCAGCTGGTAAACTGGCTGGGATGTCTGGGAGTTGTAGGGTAAAACACCTGGGGACCCACAGGTTGAGAACCGCTGGTTTAAACCATCCATAAGGCCAATCTGGAGCAAAGGTTTTATTTCTTCATGATGATGGCTCTACTGTTAATTAACAGGTTGATTTAGTGAAGGTATTTCTTTTCTCAAGAGTACTGTGAAACTCTCTAATTTATGCAGCAACTTATAACCTTTCCTTCTCTGTGGCTCTCATTCTATTGTCCATGCCAAATGAGATAGGGCACTTATTTTATTGCTGAGAATTATGTTGTCTTGCTTTCCTCGGTGATTTTATCACAGAAATTATACTCTTAACATCTGCTGCTTAATGTGCTCTTTAAAACCAACAGAATATCAAATAGCAAGGCCCTCTGATGCTAACAGAAGGGAAATACTGCTTGGAAGCCTTGCAAAACCAGGACATCCTATGAGAAAATTCTTTTGGGGTAAGCATAATATTTTGAGACTCAGACTAAGACCATATGCTCAGGATATAAGCACAGTTAAATTTGCAGAACTGAAGTTGTTTGGCAGTATTGCATTTGGAATTTCTTTACTCTGAATGTTCTTTACTCTGAATATTCCTTTGAGTAAATCTAAGTCCAAAAACAACAGGGTACAAACAGTTGGGTCAATTGTGGCTCAGAACCAGCTGCAGCTGTTTATATGGCCACACCACTTTTCCAGGGCTTGAGTAGCCTGTGGACAAGGGATGGTACCATCCCTCTTGTGTCCTTGACTTAGTGGCAGCCACTGGGAACAAAATTGTTGGTGGACATTGCTCATTGCATGAAGGAACACTGATGGAGCAATTGAAGAAAGAAGGAAGTAATTCCTCCTGTCCCTTCTCCCCTTTCCCATGGCACTCTAGTACTTTGTCCAGCATCACTATGTATAATGAATGATGTCTACAAGCAGTGGTCGCTGCTAAGGGTGACAGTAAGGGGTGGGTCATGGAGACTCCTTACCGTTCCAGGTCAGCTCTGAGATATGTGGTCCATTGTAGATGCATCCTTCATCAGACGCATGATGAACTACTCATTTTGGCTTAGGGCAATACTTTTTCTCCCACCATGTCCCCCAGAAACCACTGACTTTTTAAAAGTTAATTTGTCTCCTCATCCCTATCCCCACAACTTTTGCATTTCTATTGCTTATCACACACACAGTTTGCACATGGGTATATATAAATATCTTTGCCAGTGAATGCAGACGATACCAAGCTGAATAAGTCAATTCAGCTTGGCTTCCTATAGCAACTTCCTGTGGTCTCACAACACCCGTGAAAGCATCCATTATCAGTCTATCTTAGTAAGACTAATTTCCTGAGTGGATTTTCTCTTTGATCATTAGTAATAGGAATATGAAACATAAGATGTTTTGCTGCAGGTTAATATTCAGTTGACACTGGATTGGTTAGTACTTTAAAGAATATCCCATCATGCTTCATCCCAGAAAAAAAGTAAAAAATTGCTTGCCTGCTTTAGAAACAAACAAAACATACTGTGATATGAGGTCAAAAAGTAAATCTCTTCTTACTAATATTTACAGGTAATGCAGAAACACTTAAACATGTGCCAAAAAAGAAAAACATTGACACATATTCAAGACTACGGGATTTCTGGAAACGTCACTATTCAGCCCACTACATGAATCTTGTTGTTCAATCAAGAGGTATAAAATTGCCCTTTTCTGAAGCACAAATAATTGAGGATGAATATATACACATATAATGTTATGTGAAGGTCTTTTTGAAGAATTTTGACTGGTGAGAATAAAAACGTAATCACCACTGTTTATGCAATTTCATCACTTACAATGTTGATGTAACGAGATAGTCTAGATTATTCTTATAGTGCAGGACTATAAGACAGTGACAATGGACCTGAATCAAGATACAACATAGTGGTACCATGAATGGCACTAATAATGTTGCCTCTTCAATGTGTGGAGGACAATACTTGACAGGAGGTTAAGTGCATCCCATGTGTACTTCATTCTGCATCAGTGGGGTCCCCAAAATGGAGTAAGATATCTTCATCCTGCTATCTGCATATTATTTAGCAGTCCAAAAGCAGCTGGCCTTACAACCCAGATGACCTGCCCTGTCATAATTGGAATAGCCCTATCCCAAGGGCTATTCCAAAATCTGACCGCATACAGCCTGAAGAGCCAGTCTGGAGGGAGTATAATTTGAATGCATATTGAAAGAGGCAAAAAAATCATAAGAATATCTTCAGTAATGTTACCTTTATCCTTTACATAAGGCATGCTTTCCTATTTTTCTTTTACATCTTATTAGAGACCCTGAATGTTTTGGAAAAATGGGTGACTGAAATCTTCTCACAAATCCCAAATAAGTAAGATATATCTTTTTTGTATTCCAAATTGTATGCCAAATATTTTGCCAAAATATAAATGAAAAAGAATGAGCTCAAATTGAACTATACATTCTAGGTGACCAGGTGTTCCTGATTGTTTCCTGTCTGGAGTTTCCCTGTGTTTGAGTTTTGTTTTTTTTATTTACTGTTATAATTTTATAGTTTTTTAGTACTAGTAACCAGATTTTGTTCATGTTCTTGGTTTCTTCCTTTCTGTTGAAATTGTCCACATGCTTGTGGATTTCAATGGCTTCTCAAATAACATGCTGTGTCTAGGTTGGTTCATCAGGTGCTCTACTATGGCTGACTTCTCTGGTTGAAGTAGTCTGCAGTGCCTTTCATATTCCTTGATTCGTGTCTGGGCAATGCTGTGTTTTGTGGTCTCTATGTAGACTTGTCCACAGCTGCATGGTATACAGTAGACTCCTGTAGAGGTGAGAGGATCCCTCTTGTCCTTAAGTGAATGTAGCATTTGTTGGATTTTCTTAGTGGGTCTGTAGATAGTTTGTATGTTGCGTTTCCTCATCAGCTTCCCCATGCGATCAGTGGTTCTCTTGAATCGGAGAAGTCAGCCATAGCAGAGCACCTGATGAACCAACCTGGACATAGCATATTATTTGAGAACACAGAAATGCTGGACCACTCGAACAACTACCATGCCAGGCTACACGGAGAAGCCACTAAAATCCACAAGCATATGGACAATTTCAACAGAAAGGAAGACACCATGAAAATGAACAAAATCTGGCTTCTAGCACATGGTCATACAACCTGAAAAACCTACAACAACCCAGTGATTCCAGCCATGAAAGCCTTCAAAAATATTATGTTTACTTATTTTCAATACAAAATCCACAAAAGCAGTGAACAACCTTTGTTATATAACTTACATATTTAAATATTTAGATAGTAGATATTTTTCAAAGGGCAGAACTAAAGGCACATAGGATGTTCCGTCTACAGCTATCATGTAAAGTTAAACTGAGCTATTGGGAAAGCATTTGAGGAATCACACAAAAGGGTATTAATTCATCATCATCTGCCTAGTACTTGCACTTTCTCATCTTCTCCAGCCACAACTAAGGCAGGGGTTTATGTCAGTGCATGATTGTGTATGCTTCTTTTCAGCTGCCAAAAGGTATCTCATTAAATTAACTATCATGCAGCAGAATGAACGGGTTTGCACTGCTGAAATAGAAAGTTAAACTGCATTATATGAGTATACAATGACCATATAATGCCTTTTCAAACAATGCTAGCTCTCTCCTGGATGCCATATTATTGATTTTTTTTTGTTTCTTTTTTGGAAGTGAATTACCTAGACCAACTTTCAATTACCTGAAGGATCCTTTTGATACACCTGAATTCAACAAGATTTACAGAGGTATGTGAATCGTCCATTTTCTACTATTTGGCGAGCTTAAATAGATATGTTATAGCAATTGATATTTCACAGTAGTAAGTTCCTTGACAAGATCAAAAACGTGTCCTTAAGCAAGTAATTCTCTATCAGCTTAGTCCCTCTCTGCCTGTAATGCATAAAAATGAGCTACTTTATAAAGTTGTGGACAAAGTATCACTTACATAGATATATATTTAGTCCCTCAGTGCCTCTTTTGTTTGCCATTTTTCTATCATCTGTATTCTTGTAAATATCTACTATATCAATTTCTTTCTTTTGTTTCAGTTATTCCAGTGAAAGAAATACATTCATTGAGCATCTCTTGGGCTCTTCCCACACAAGAAAAGAATTATAGGTAAATAATCATATTTAAGTTTACTTCTGTTTATGCAATTCAATAATGAAATATCGCATTCTACTATATCATCAAAAACAATGACCTCTATTCTCAATGCCCTAGATTCAAAACAGCAGAGCTTTTGAGTTGTGGTATTGCAGTACATATCTGCAATATTCACAGTTATTGAAATTGGAAAATTAATTGATTAGATGYTCATGGAAGCCAAATAGAATCATAGAATCATTGAGTTGGAAGAGATCTTGTGGGCCATCCAGTCCAATCCCCTGCCAAGAAGAAGGAAAATCACCTTCAAAGCCCCCCCCCCCCCACTACGGATTACCATCCAACCTCTGTTTAAAAGCCTCTGCATACCGCTGCATGACATTGTTGGCTTATGTTTAACTTGTTGTCCATGAGAACTCTGAGATCTTTTTCACACCAGTTGTCCCTCATTCTGTATCTTTGCATTTCATTATTTCAATTATCAATACCAGACTGGTGTAGTGGGAACACGTATTTAAGAAATGAGAAGTACATAGGAATTTTATGATAGAATTAGATGTGAAGATAGACAACTCTGCTCTTTTTTGGTAACCTTAAGCAAGTTGCTACTCACTTTGGTTCACAATATCCTCAGTGACAGGGAAGGCGAATGGCAGTACTGCTCCATCATTCACCATCATTCTGGTGAGGCTAGAACTTTTCATTCAGATGGGCAGCATGAACATGAGGCTTCTTCTTTCTTAGTTCTGTAAATTTTGTTACTGGTGAAAGATTATAAGTTTCAGAACTGCAATTGCAATCCAAGGGTTATCCCCAGACATAGTCTGCTTGAAGTACACAATGTTTCAAAATAATGGCCCCAATTTCAAAGCAGTATATTTCATGATGGCAACACATTACAATTACAGAAAAAATTACAAATAGTTTAATAAGTTATCAAGTTTTGGTAACCATTTTGAGGCAGAACAAATTTTTAAAATAATTCTGCAAATGGAGACTATCTCATTAGATCTCATGTTGCAGGATCGCCATTTTATAAACGACTGAACTAGGGTTTATTTTTGCACTGGAATAAGCATCTAGCAGTGATCATGTGAAACTCTATTTGCCGCTCTTTCAAGTGGTGAGAGATTTATTCATGGACAGTTAGTGTTTGCTGAGATTTAGTGATACCAAATTGACTTCATCTTTTTGTATTTCCTACTCCCATAAATACAAATAGTCTGTGGTTGGGCAATTTCCCCTGGACTACACTGAAGCCTTCTGATCTCTTGCATACACAACACCAGGATTGTCAGAGGTCTCCGACCAATATTTGGTGGCAACTACAATAGCGCTTTGTAGTTTAAACGGCTTCCTTTTGCTTTTGGAGTTGAAAGCCTAATTTTCCTTAGTTATCTTTCAGTCATAACCCTATTTTTTTCTATTAAGAAGAGTAACAATAATGTGTGACAAAATATATTACTGGTGAAAAAACTAGTTTCTTCAATAGCAGGAAACTCTGATGAGGAAAATCTTAGATAACTGCAAACTTCACAATTCATGACTTGCTCTATGTGGAAAACCTGCAAATTTTTAATATAAAAAAATTCTACAGAAAGTGCAAATTTCCTGCTAAAAAAAGAAGTTTTTTTCCTGTTTGAAAAAAAAACATTTTTGGGCAAAAAATGTTTTGCAAAAATCAATCTGTTTTTAAACAAACTTTTGTTCTCTGTGTAGTTTTTTTTAGGAGATGTATTCTTTTTATGGGAATTATCATTTAGATAGAATTTTCTCTGTAAAAAAGGCAAATTTTTAGCAAAGATAATTCTACAGTTTTCAATAGGTTTCACATAGCAAAGAGGAAAAAGTTAAAATAATACATTCCTAAGTGGTTTATCAGTTACTAACTATTCTGAGAATAGGGCTCTCGTTTTACTTCATTGTTGGTTAAAAAATTACTAGACATGCCTCTGAAAGTTGCATTTTGGATAAGAACAATGTGACTGCAAGAGAGAAATATTGCACTTATCCAAGAAAAACAGGATATTGATTCAAAAGGCGTTTAATTCGATTTAGTATAGTTCTTGTTATCTTTTTAATCCTAAAGGAAAGGGGATTTTTTTACAGACACATATTTTGAAATAGAATAGATCTTTCAAGATGGTTATTTTGTTTGTGTTTATTTTAAACCTACGTGACATTTCATATCCCCATTCATTTTTCAGAGTGAAGCCTCTTTACTACATCTCTTGGCTGATGGGACATGAAGGGAAAGGCAGTGTGCTGTCACTTCTCAGAAAGAAGTATGCTGTTTTGTTTTACTTATGAAATATAAAAGCATGGTGGGAAGGTTCCTGGGGAATATGTCATGCCATGATTAATTTTGAAAATAGTAATTCTGAATATCTATGATAACACTATGACTTACAACTTGGTTCTCTACATTGAGAGATAATATATGATTTATGGTGCAATTCTAACTGAAAAAATATGCAGGCTTTAGGGAGTCAGAAATTTATTTCTGATAGCAGGGCTCCCATTTTTCCCCTAGCTGATCTCAGAGAGCTTCTGACAAAGAATTTGCCAGCAGAGCAGTTCTGCTGGCATGATCTGTTGGCAAAAGAAAAGCAAAATTGTGGTTGAGAAGCAGGGGAGCCAAATTAGACCAAATTATCCAAAGTCTAGCCTAAGACACAGTTAACAATTCTGGCACAATCAGAGCAGGGTGATAGTATTTCTAAATAATTTTGGAATTACTATGTTGAGGAGGCAATTTTGATTCTTCACCTATTCAACAGATATATGGACAAAATGGATTCATGTGCATAATTTAATGAAATATGATTTAAATTTTACAATAGGTTTTGGGCTCTTGCATTATTTGGAGGTAACGGTGAAACAGGATTTGAACAAAATTCTACATATTCCCTCTTCAGCATTTCGGTGACTTTGACAGATGAAGGCTTGGAACATTTCTATGAGGTTGACTCTCTTTTAGAAATAGAAATAAACAATGTTAACTCATTTATATATCTACCATTTTTAGTGAAGGAAAATAAACTCCATTTGAAGTTGCAGTTTATAATTATATGTTTTAATTATATGTTTAAATATGTTCTGGATTTAATCTGAATTGCTTTTAATACTAATGATGTTTAATACTGTTTATTATTTGTATATTTAAATTGTATTGTAATGCTTTTATTGTTAGCTACTTTGATTCTCCTTATTGAGAGAAAAAGTGGATAGAAATAAGTATAATAATCATAATTTAATTTACTTTATCCTTACCTTATGAGATGGAGTCTTCTCTACATGTTCTCTCCATTTTCAGATGCTGGCAAAACAAAGTCCCACGGAGGCCATCTTTTGACACATGGCTACTTCCCATGGGACTCCATCTTGTCAGCTTTTTAAAGGATAAACAGTTCCATTTTCCTAACAGCATAAAATGGGGAAGAAGTGGGGAAACCCTGAGAAATGGAAGGAAATGGCGTGGGATGTCTGGCCATCCCAAAAGATGGGGAAAGGTGGTAGGGAACAAAATAAGATATTTTCCTTTCACCTTTCCCTGCTTTCCACTGCTTTTCCTCTGCTCGTCTGATGAGTTCCTAATACATCTTAATTGTGTGAGCATTCAAACTGCCTTATTTCTGATTTGCTCTGGAGCCATGGTTCAATTATTCTCAAAGCAATGGAGGCACAAGGCAAAAACAGTTATAAAAGGAAAACGTTTTATGAGCTAAATGACTATATATGCAGCAGCACTTCTAGCACTGGCCATACTGAGTGGACGATTCTGAGAACCGTAGTCAAAAAAGAAACTTTTCTAAATGCTGCCTAAAATGATATTACAGCAAAACTGTGTCACTCTAGAAGTTCTGCAAAGACATGTGGGACATCAGCCAGGAAATGGCAAAGGCAGTATCAAAAACCCTCTCAGCCAAACAAAGACTGATCCTGGCTGAACCATGGTGAACTGAAATGTTGCAACCATTTTTCAGTATAATCCAGAATTCAGGGACTCATTTTTCTGTCTACAGGTTATTCATCTTATATTCCAATACTTGAAGATGTTGAAAAAAAATGGCCCCGAAAAAAGGTATGTTATAAATCTGTTCTAATTCTTATCTGGTCTCTGTCTCTGTCACTGACTCTCATAATCTATTTTCAGTATTTATTGGAACTGATGGTGTAACTGACTGATTGGAGAAATAATAATTTATACTATAGGGAAAATGTAGGACGGGAAGAAATCATCCAAAAAATAAGAAAATTATGCCCATTCATATATGCGTGCTTATTGGTTTTTGAGTTTCACATGTGAGTAAGCCATCACACATCAAACACCACAGATAGATCATCTTTATAGCTTCAGATAAGAGATTTTCTCAAATAAATCAGTTTGAAGTCTCAGCTGGAAGTTATCCATGCAAGGGAAAATAAAATGAATGACTGACATACATCCACCCTTTATGTATCTGTTTTTTTTTTCTTATTTATAGAAATAATGTGGTTTCAAGATCCAGCAGATGCTATTCATCATTCCACAATTAGGAGGCCAGATTGTTTTGTTGGTGTTCAACAATAACCTTTTTTCAAATGACTGAAGCTATATTTCATCAACAAATAGTTTTTAGTGTTTCCTAAATAATATCCTATGAATAATACTTGCAAAAAGCAATAGTTGCATTGTATATGACATTGATTTATATTTCATGACAAGCCCTTCCTCTTCACATGGGCTAAGAATCAGCAGTGATGTGGGGTTGTTTTTGTTTGTTTTTTTTTTGTAGCTTTGTCACAGAGTCCGCCAACTCCCATCACACACTGAAAAAGGTCTTCTGGGGCAGCTCTGGGCAAAGGTGCCACACACACACACACACACACCCCGCCACTGGCAAAAATAGCAGGCGATGAAAGAAGGGGGGCATCCTGTTTTTCCATAGAGAAGCATGGGATGAGCCAGTTTTCTGATGCTCCCCTCCCCCATGTGGTGAGGTGAGGGGAAGCTGGGATGGTGTGGTACACAGGGCAACAGGTTCCCACACCCCTTGGGTTGCTGCCACCAGAATCGCCACAATCCACGACAATATTGGATGATTCCAGCGGCATGTGTGAAGAGAACCAAATCAGAAAATACATACATAGATCAAAATACATACATCCAAAACATATTTATTTAGACTGGAACACCATCACACTCTCTTTCCATGTAAACATTCAATTTCTGCAGCATGAACTGGCCCTTTATGATACAGATTCATTAAGAGGGTTTTAATATTATTAAGCAGATTAATCCCATTGTGACTTTGTGGGATTTACATCCAGCAACTAGTTCTTTGAGTTGGGAAAAACTAATGGGATTTAGGCATTACACTTTACAGACTAATGGAGAGACAACATGTTCAAGTGATTCAACTGTTGGAATGGGACTTTGGTCATTCGAGTTATTTTCCCCCATTGAGCCAAAAAACTCAACAAGGAGCCCTCTTTTTCTTGGGTTAGTCACTGTCTGTCAACCTGACTTACTTCACACAAGGATAGAATGATTTTTATGTTGCCTTTTAAAACCCTATAAAATGCACCCGATAAATGAGAAAATAGTTTTACCTAATTTCCATTTATTTCCTACACAATTTCTACCCCTTGCCAATTTTCCCATATCTGTTTTTATATGAATATGTGCAGAGGAGAAAAATTCCTCCTACTTGATCTATTGCCCAGCAATATATATTCATTGTTTTCTTTTGAAATAAAGATAGGAAAAGCCAATGTGATTCTAGGCTACATTAATAGGAGTATAGTGATGAGATCCAGGGAAGTCTTAGTCCCATTCTATTCTGCGTTGGTCAGCTCTAATCTGGAATACTGTGTCCAGTTCTGGGCATTGCCATTCAAGAAGGACATTGACAAGCTGGAATGTGTTCAGGAAAGGGTGACCAAAATGATCAATGGTTTAGAAGCCAATCTCTTTGGAGTAAAGAGGGCTGAGGGGAAACATGATAGTCAATGTTTAAATATTTTAAATGGTAATAATAATAATAAATTATATTGTATTCTGCTCCGTCTCCTCAAGGGAATTCAGGGCGGTCCTCAATAATGTCACATTTAGGAGGGAGCAAGCTTGTTTTCTGCTGCTCTGGAGACTGGAACATGGAGCAATGGATTCAAATTGCAGGAAAAAAGATTCCACCTAAACATTAGGAAGGACTTCTTGATGATAAGAGCTGTTTGGCATTGGAATGAGCTGCTTTAGAACATGGTTAATTCTCCTTCTCTTGAGGTTTTTAAGCAGAGGCTGGGTGGCCATCTATTGGGAGTGTTTTGATTCTCTGTTCCTTCATGGCAAGGGGCTGGATGGCCATTGCAATCTGTTCCAACTGTATGATTTTATGATTCTATGAAATAAGGATACACAATTCCTTTCATTCCCATAGAATATGGGAAGAAATTCAGAAGATTGAAGGCAATGGATTTTGTTTCCAGGAACAGGTATTCATCATTCATTTCATATTGTCCCATCTCTGTCCCCACAGTAAAACTTTTAATGAATG